TTAGGACTACACATATTTGTAATGTCTGCCTTTTAAGACTACAAAGATTTGTAGTGTCTGCTTTTTCAGACTACAAAGGTTTGTAGTGTCCACTTTTTAAGACTACAAAAGTTTGTAGTCTGCTCTCCTGACATTTAGTTAAATTGTACTGGGATATGAACAGAAGTTTAGCCAAGGTCAGAGATAGGATGGTGGTTTGTCTGAAAAGATGATATAGGTCTCTTCAATATGAAAGACAACCATGAGGCATGCAAATGTTGCAACAATGGCAAAAGGTTGACTCATATCAACCCTTCAGTCATGTCCCCATGAACATATACTGTACAGAGTCAAGGCCAGTACAAACTAAATGTCAGAAGAGCAGACTACAAACCCTTGTAGTTTGAAAAAGTGGACATTACAAACTTTTGTAGTCCTAAAAAGCGGACACTACAAAACTTGTAGTCTTAAAAAGTGGACACTACAAACTTTTGTAGTCTTGAAAAGCAGAAAAAGCAGACATTACAAACCTTTGTAGTTGGAAAAAGCAGACACTACAAACTTTTGTAGTCCTAAAAAGCGGACACTACAAACCTTTGTAGTCTTAAAAATTGGACACTACAAACCTTTGTAGTCTGAAAAAGCAGATACTATTATAGTTTATTTATTTTCAATGGATCACAAACAATGTTTGTTTGGTGAACATGCTCACCAAACATGGCCACTCTCTTCTTCCACCACCACCACCATGCTCGTCACCGCCGCCAACACCACGCCATCACCGTCACCCATAGCCACCACCGCCAACATCGCTCCTCGATCACCCATGGCCACCACGACCACCAACATCAACCACAACACCCTTCAACAACAACGCGGCGACGCCACGTCACGAAACAACGAGCGCCGTAACCCACGAAAACACCCAACGCCCACGAAAACAACGCCCCCGGACACAAAACGACACCCGACGGGCACAAAACGACGCCCACCGCCCATGTACACCGCCAGCGCCCACGAAAACCATACCCCGCCCACGAAAACATCCCACCACCCACCGAAAAACACGAGCGCCCACCGAAAAACACGCGCCGCCCACCGAAAAACACGCGCCGCCCACTGAAAAACACGCGCCGCCCACCGAAAAACACGCACCGCCCACACGACATACGACGGCACCACGCCGCCTACCAAAACCACCACGTCCACACCAACGCCACCCACGACGACGCCCCCAACGGCAACCAGCGCCCACGACGACGGCGACGACAACGTCACGAATAACGCAACAACGCGGACACACGACGAAAACGCGAACACGCGACGAGGAGGCGACAACGAAATGCGACACAACGATGGGATGCCAACGCGGGACGACGATGGCCGAGGTCCCAGCCACACTCCCTCTCCCCTCCACCATTCCCTCCCTCCCTCCCTCCTTCCCCCTTTCCTTGTCCCTCCCCCTTGCTCCACCATTCCTTCCCCCCTTTCCTCCCTCCCCCCTTTCCTCCCTCCCCCCTTTCCTCCCTCCCCCCTTTCCTCCCTCCCCCTTCCTTGTCCCTCCCCCTTCCTTCCTTCCCTCTTTCTTGTCCTTCCCCCCTTCCGCCCTCCCCTCCCTTGTTCTTCCCCCTTCCTTGTCCCTCCCAATAATAGAAATACACCCCCACCTTGTCCCACCCCTACCCCCTCCCTTTAAGATAAACTGTGTAATGTGTGTAGTAATACATTTCAAATACATCCCCACCTTGTCCCTCCTCTACCCCCTCCCTTTAAGATAAACTGTGTAGTGTGTGTAGTAATACATTTCAAATAAATTACAACTCAATCTATGACTTCTACATGTGAATTTTATAAGGAAATATGAGTGCCAAGTCATCAGGATAAGCTTGGAGT